AGTACCAGCTACATATCGAAAGATGTGCCACTTGAAACTACTTCATGACATATGAATTTGAGTTGCACAAGGTGTGTGATGACATAAAAACCTGTAGTGTCGCATTCAGCTGTCAAGGCAAATAATCACCTTCTGTGGTTGCCAAATGAGTGGATTTTCTATCCTACCATGTTGCTACACCTTCTATCTAGGCCACTCAACTTTGCATCAAGATCCGTGTTGTCTTTACAAATTACATCCAAATTATTTCACCATTTTGTTTCTTTCAAACAAGAGAACATTTGACCATATTATTGAGATTCTCATATTCTTTTAGACAAATTCACACGCATGTTCATGATAGTAGTAGCTATACATTTTAATTATTGTTTCCTTGAATGACGTGTTCCATAATGCCCCCGTCCCTCCCCCGTGCAGCGGCGCCGCCCCGCACCGGGGAGCCCCCGCCCTCCCCCTACAGCTTCGCCCCACCTTCGCTCCCCTCCGCCGCCGTCGCCCGGGGCATCACAGGGCAAAGTCCTTGTGGCGTGGCGGCGGCGGCGGTTTTCTCCTCGGATCTCGATCTGGTTGGGAGGTGGCGCTCCTTTCCGGCCAGATCGACGGCGGTGGCGCAGATCGGCGGCGACATGGAAGTGGTGCGGCGGCGGCGGGGGAGGACGGCACCAGCAACGACGGATCTGGCCTTGACTCAGTCGGGCTAATTCGTTCTGCTACCGGTCTCAATCGCCGTCAGCGGTGCACTGCTCCTGGACTTGATCTGCAACACGAGGATGTCTAGGGCGCCGACCCTAGGCTTGTTGGTGGTGGCCTTCTTCTTCGTCGGAGTTGGTTGGCCGGCTGGCTGTGCTCGCATGGTCATGGCGGCGGTGGTCGCAGTGACCGGCGGCTTGGCCGGTCGGCGGCGGCGGAACTTGGCCGGTGGCAGCGGCAATGTTCTGTCTGGATCCCGGGGCGGCGGCCCTGGAGGTGGCGGCCGGTGAAGCTATGGCCTCCCGCGGTGGCATGGCGTGGTGCAGTCCCTGTCCAAGGCGGATCTGTGACGGCGATCTGCTATGGATTGGTTCGGATCAGAGACGGTGACGAGCGCGCGGGATCCTTCTTGGCGGCTCTCGCGGCTTGGCGAGGCGGGGTGGGAGCCCTCCTCCTAGGCTCTAGTGGTGGCACACTCAGGCAGTGGCCGGTGTGCCAGGGATCCCACGGTGGCACTGTTGCTGCGGTTGGTCGCCAGATCTAGGCGGCTGGATCTAGGGCTTTGAAGGTGGTCGAGACGGTGCACAGGTTGTTGAGTGGATTTCTTGGGAAGGATCCGGGTGAAAACCTGGACTTTGGTCGATGGCCGGAGCCGGTGATGACGATGCCGTTATCATCGTTTCCTTCATGAAGGCATCATCGAGGTGAAGCTCCCAGCTCCACTCAATACCTCTAGGGGAAACCCTAGATCATCTGATCGGATGTTGGCGGCAATCATGTGTCGTAACCCCCTTGGGGGCGGCATTCTTGGAGGTGCACTTGGCTTCGCGGGACCAGCGGACGACTTCTTTGGTGGAGCGATGCTTCATCCATACATTGATGGCGACGGATCTTGACGGCGTGGCGCAGTGCAGATTCAGAGTTTGATGTGGGAGGATGGACTCACGCAGGAGGACGACGCTGCCTGGCGTCGTGGTGGCGTCGATGGCAGAGAGACCTGGCACGGTAGATGCAACAACACAGCTGATCTGAAGATGGACTCGTGGCAGGTGGCTGCGGCGGCCCCATACCCGGCAGGCGTCCTCGATGAGGAGTGCGCCGGACTGGTAGGTGCCCCATACCAGGCAAGCGTCCTGGTTGGGACCTTAGGTCTTAGATGTTTAGGTTTGGCTGCGATGTCTGTTTGGTATTAGGCCCAGGCTATCAGTGCTCCTTCATCAATTGGATAGGTGTAGCGACATTTGTTCCTTAGACGGTGGCTTTAGTCTTGCTGTTGTATGACTTTGTAAGGTCTTGTGAAAATAATTAATAAAATGGCCGTATGCATCACCCAGATGCAGAAGCCGGGGGTCCTCCTTTTCTAAAAAATAAAATAATGTTATCATAATTTTATAAGCCTGAAAGTAATACTCATCAATTTCCATGACAAATTGGCCAATTTGAAAAAAATCCAAATATTGTGACAATCTTGTTTCACCTTGTTATTCTGTGAATGACATAAATTGGTGAACCTTTTCCTAGTTTTTTTTGTCGATCAAGGATGGTAGACTATTATTTCCGATGTCTTTATGGCAAATGTAACTTAGTATGTTCCTTTTAGAATACTAAGTATGTTTTTCTGATATATTTGTATCCGCTTATGGTCAGATACATGTTTTCCTACTTCTTCATCCGATTATAAGATAATCAAATATAATTGTTTGAGTTATGTGATTATTTGCTATTCTTTCCTTTTTACTGTTGGTTCATTTCCTGCTGTTTTTTCTATGTAGGGTGGTTATGAGTATGTTGGTTGGTGTGAATACCGCAATCAATTTCATAGCTATGAGATTGAACAAGAATACGTCAAATATTGTGAAGAATTGTCCAAGAACCTTGAGGTTGACGGGTATGCTAGATTAGCTGGCTTCGTAGAAGTGTTTCTCCAAAAGAACTATGAAAGCCAATCAAATCGGACAGGCGGCCGACTCGCCACCACACATTTGGCGCATCCTATTTAGTTCATGAGCTTTTTTACGTATGTTTTCTTTCCTGTGTTTTTTCTCGTTTCTTTTCTTTTCTTTTCTTTCCCTTTCCTTTTTCATTTAGGAATTCAGAACATTTTCTAAATTCATGCACACTTTTCAAAATTCACAAACATGTTTTGAATTAGCAGACCTTTTTCGATTTTATGAACATAGTTTGAAATACTTAACAATTACTTTGAATTCATTATCATTTTTCAATTCGTGATTTATTTTGAAATTTGGAAACATTTTTTTGACTTGATAAAGATTTTTTGAAATTGGGAGACCTTTTTCAATTTCGTAGTTTTATAAAATTACAAACAATTTTCAAAAACTATTTTCTTTGAATATTTTTCATATTCACGAATATATTTAAATACAGGAACATTTTGCAAAATTAAAAATATTTATAAAATTTCGGCATATTTTAGGGATTTAAATTATTTTAAAAAATCATGAATATTTTTTGAATTCATGAACATAAAGAAAATAAATTAAAATAAAAGGAAACAAGGAAAAAGAAAGAAAAGAAAAAAAATGAAAAAACAAATAAGAGAAACGGAAAGAAAACAGGGGCTTACTGCCCAGCACATGGGCCAATCCAAATTTGCGCATGGAGTAGGGCGCTTGTTAGGATGAGCTCCTCGCTAACACATGAAGGGATCCACCAGAGCCCGCTCACGACTCATCTCTTTGTCAACAATTTTATTTCGGAGCTTGGAAAGCTGAAAACGCCGACCGGCTCACGTGAAATAATAGCACCCAGAAGAGTTCAGGAGAAGGGAAAATTGGCTGCCGCCACTTTAGGGGTATGTCAAAATTAATGTTGATACGGGTATTTCGGTTAATCACAATCTTGGAACTGTTACATCCATTTGTTACGGTAGGGATGGGAGTTGCTTGGGCAGCTCTATCCTAGTTGGCAATGGTCTCACTAAGCCATCCGCACTCGAGGCGCTGGCCTGCAGGGAGGTACTCTCGTTAGCACAATATTGCGGGATGCAGAACATACAAGTGGCGCCAAACAATTTTAACTTAGAAAAAGTTTATGAAATTGAAAAAATTAACAAAAAAAGGTTTCAATTTTTTAAAAATTTGTGAATTGTGAAAAATTCATGAATTTGGTAAAAATGATTAATGAAAAAATAAAGAAAAATTAAATAAAACCCCCAAAAAAGGAAATAAAAATAGACCGAACACAAAATGAGAAAACGGGCAAAACCCATGTTGGGAAAAAAGCTGTAAGAAAAACCGCCCCAAAAACCGTAAGAACAATCATGGGAAGGTTAAAGAACTGGTGAAAAAACCCTACATGGAACACCCCATTCACATACACAGCTGAGGATGACAATTTTACGCATGGGCACGGGTACCGTCAGATACCGTACCCGCATGGGCAGGATATGTACACAATTTTACCCCCATGGGTAGTGTCCGTACTCTACCCGTTAAGTCATGGTAGACCACGGATATAGCCTTGTACCCACGGATATACCCATACCCTACCTGTTTATAGTGACATGTGGACCTTACCCGTGGAGCTGAAACATATATATGATAGTTTGTGCTAGCTTCCTTGAGGTAGCTAAAGTTTGTGTTGGCTGATGGGTACTTCAAATGTTATTTTATTTGTTACTTGTCGGATGCTATTTGGTGAAGTGTGTCGTTAGCTTGTGAATCTATGTAAAGTTCTCACCGATTATCAATTTGAATTAAGATAATTGTTATGTACTCATCTATTTGTTATCCAGTTGGGATAAATATCTTTTTGTCAAATGTGATATCGATGAATGTAAATTTGTAAATAACTTGTGTAGTGTTTGATGTACTCGTTGGGTACCCAATGGGTATGGGTACCCGTCGGGTACGGGTATAGGTAAAGTTTCCTACCCGTAGATATGGGTATGTATAGAATTTTGTATTCATTGACTTAATGACTACGCAGGTATGAATAAGGTATTGCTTTACCCGTTTCATACCATACCCAGCGGGCGCCAAATAGGAGTTGGGCTGTTAGCAGGCTTTCCACCTCACGGGCAGTTTCCCAAAAGAAAGCCTCACGGGCTGTGGAATAGGAGGTCCCACACCGTTTCCGTTGCTCAATAAATCCGACTATGGTTCTCTCTCTCTCTCAAAAAAAAAAAAAAAAAACGAATCCGACTATGGACGTGACTCTCTCTCAACGAATTCCGATTTGACGCGCTCGCCGTCTCCAACTTCACTTGACCCGCCCCGCCTCCATTAAATAGGACCGGCAGGGCCTTAGGAAGCTCCACACCACAGTCGTTGCTAGGGTTTGGAGAGATGCCGCGGAATCAGATCGGCGACACGGTCCCCGGTGAAGTGGTGCCGCCGCCGAACCAAGTAGGGAATCGGAGGGTCGGCCCGGTCTCCGGTGCCGCGGTGCCGCCTAAGCAAGTCAGGGATCGAACGCCCGTGTCGGCCCCTCCGCCGTCGAAGCAACGCAAGGATCAGACGGTCCGCCCGGTCTCCGTTGGAGCGGTGCTGCCGACGCAAGTCGGGGGTCGGACGCCCGTGTCAGTCCCTCCGTCGTTGCCCAGCCAGGATCGAAATCGGAGGGTCAGCACCGTCTCCGGTGGAGAGGTGCCGCTGAAGCAGGCTGGGAATCGGTCGCCGTCGTCGACCCAGCTGTCGCCGAAGCAACGCCGGGATCAGACGGTCGGCTCGGTGTCCGGCAGAGAACCCTCGCTGCAGATGCACGCTACACAACAAGGCAGACCGGCCAGTTCCTCGAAATCTAGGTCATGTTCGGCTCTCCGCGGTAACACCAGTTTGCATGCTCGTAAGCCATCCGCTGCTGCAACCAAAACTGGTGTACAAGCGAAGCCAAAGAAGACCAAAGAGCTGGAAGAAGCTGATAACGAAATCAGAAAACTGAACAACTTGGGCTTGGGAGACGATATCAGCAACGAACAGTATCGTGTTTATCTCAACCAGCTGCCTCGCAAGCCTGATGTCGACGTCTGCACCAAGCTGGATGCTGTGCAGCTCAAGGAGCTCAATGTGCGCCATGCGTTGTATCGCAACAAGTATTATCAGGTTGGATTCCTAGTCCTGCCATCATCTTGTTATATATATGCAGCTTATGATAGTTTGGTAATACCCTGTTCATAGTTAATTTAATCTCATGACTGGTCTCATTGTCTATAGCTGTCACAACACGTGCCTGAGGATAAGCTTTGCTATGATAAACTGAAGGAGGACTACCCACCTGGCCATCGTCCTGTGGGGCAGGGATCTTTTAAGTGCTCTGAGGAAGATGGCGAATTAGATTGGTCTTTCCACCCTGACTACTGCAAACTTGCTGGCCTGGAGGACTACCAACGGCTGGTCCCTCGAAATTATGTACGCATGTCTTCTTTTTTGGGCAAGTTGTATGCATCTGTTTATGTTCTTTTGATCTAGTACGATAAGCCAGTTTTTAAGCTCAGACAGTACTCGCCAAAACGTAGATCAAAATCTTTATATGGCGATGCAGTCGCTAAACCTTGTAAAAGATTGAAAAGGCCGTTTCAGTATTCATGTTATATTCTTGGGATCCTTAGATTGTTTTAGACCAATTCACATGCATGTTCATGCTAGCAGTAGCTGTACGTTTTAATTATTGTTACCTTGAATGAAGTGTTCCATAACGTTGTCACGGTTTTATAGGCCAGAAAGTAATACTCGTGAATTTATATATGACAAACTGTACTCAGGACAATCTTGTTTCACCTGATTGCCTTTTACGTGATTATTACTACCTTATCGTGTTAATAATAAAATAGTGAAACTGTTCTTAGTTTTTCTTCTTCTATCAAGGATAGCAGACTATATTATTTCCTTTAGATGACCTTATGGGAAATGTATCCTAACTTATAAATGGTCAAGTATAATTATCTGAGTCAGCTGATTGTTTGCTATTCTTTCTTTGTTATTGTTGGCTACCTCTCTAATGCTTTTTGATGTAGGGTGGTTTTGAGTATGTCAATTGGGATGAGTACCACAAGGATTGTCATAGCTATGAAATAGAACAAGAATATGTCAAATTTTGTGAAGAATTGTCCAAGAAACTTAAGGTATGCACCATAGATATGATAAAGTTACTCAAATTTGGATTATTATTTTTATCTAACAAACTTTCTTTGTATTGTGACAGTGGATTGAAGCTTATGTGTTAAATAAGCCTCCATCTCTTATGGTAAGTACGTCGATACAAAAAACACATGGAGTGACACTATATATATGTCAATATACATACTTTAGCATGATCTAATTACTCTTCTATTTTAGTGGGGAAAGATTTTGACCAGAGGATCTTACCAAGCAATCAAGATCGCTACTGACTTCTCGAAGATATACGATGGCTTAGCCTTTTCTGGCTTCTACGTACGTATGGTCTCTCATACACTTGTTATTTTCATTTAGGTGTTTTGTATTTAACAATTGCATATTCTTTTAATTCAGGAATGGTTAGATAGCATGGGTTTTGATGTGTGTTGCTACAACGAGTTTGATGGTCTCTATTACGAGATTTGGCAAAGGTACAACATGGAGGTTAGTACTGAACAACCAAGCAACGATTGAATGACTATAACTCTTATGTTTTGATGCTTTGTGATACATTTTCCTTTTCTCCCTTTGAACAATTAACAGAAGAAATTCAGAGATGCTCTGTATGAAGTCTATGAACTTAACATGTTTCCATTACGCCAAGAAAGAATGAGACGTGCATTGGAGAATGACACATTCTGCTCCGACTTGGAAGAAGAGGTAAATTGTTTTCCTTTTGCAGATGGTTTCCAAATTCACATGATATTCATGATTATAGGTGTTTTATATGCTCATCTTTTTCATACTTTTCCTTTTCAGTTTCTTGCTTGCACAGCTTGCCTCGATGAAGTAAGTGCCGTTCTGTGTGTCTCACACTCTTACGCCATGTTTGGATGCAAAGTGTTTTATACTACCTCCGTCCCATAATGTAAGACGTTTTTTGACTCTAGTCTAGTGTCAAAAAATGTCTTACATTATGGGACGGAGGGAGTAGTTTTTTTCTTCTGAATACCATGATTTCTGAAAAGAACAATATTTACTTTGTGGCGTTTGGACCTAGTAAATACCACAATTTTACAAGCTGCAGTATTCCCAATACTATGGTATTTTGGGAGTATTAAAAAATCTACTCCCGTGTTACAACATATATATGTTGCTTTGAAACTGAGTTACATAGTAGAGAATATATAAGTATAGATCTGCTATGTTACTTTATATACTAAGGGAGTTAACCAAACAATTGTCTTTTCACATGCACTTGCATGCCCAAAAATTAGTTTGATTTTTTTATGATAGCTATGGAATGCAAAACAAGAAAACAAAAACTTCAGTAAATACTGCCATCGCCAAATGCTTTGTACACTATTTCCTACCTACAACCCAAAGTACTATGATTTTCCAATAGTATAGGTTTTTTAAATACTCGGCATCCAAACAAAACCTAGATAGAAACCATCGGAACATTGTCCTTGTATCTGATGCTATCCCTGACAATAGTTTGCAGATGACAAAAGCCAGATTTCAGAGGATAAAGCCCGGGAGTTGATTGCAGAGGCACTTAGAAAGGAGGTACTTTATTACAAAACTGCATCCGTATGCCTGTTTCAAGTTTCAACTATATAGTTTACTAAGTGAAGTTCCTTTTTTTTCAGACGCAGAAACCAAAGTTCTATGAGGATTATTGTAGGAAGAAGCTAGATATTGCTCAAGCTATTGGATTAATTCCCAGCATACCGTCTTAATTAACTGTTTATCTTCCTGATTCACGCCATTTCATTTGTACATATGCAGCCTAACTGCCACCTGCGAAGCACATGTAGAATTCAGGGATGTAACTTAGCAAGTTGGGAAAAATTTCATTCTTCCCTTCTCTTGGGGATTACACTTTCTTAGTTACATATCTCCTCAAAGAAATTTGTACTGTTCATAATTTCAAAATCATAAGTATGTCATTTTTATGTGGCTCACATGTTAAATTATTTACACATGTGTAGTATGCATATCCATATTATCATTACTATAGCATTTTTTAAAACTTCAAAAATATGATTTTCAAACTATTCAAAATAAAATGCTCACTGGCACCTGTTCTCTAAAAATGCGTAGTCATGTGTTATCCTTAAATGTGGATGGCGTGCAAGAATGTCAAACAATATAGTATAATCTTAAATAAGGAGCTCAATGACACGAGTGTGTTTTCATCTCAAACAAACTATTGTTAAAGCAAAACCAGACCATTCTCTCCATCAGCATCGCATGGATACACGAAACACGGTCCTAAGGTATACTATCCATGTTCGCATCCGTTATTTCAACAACAGAAGGGGTGGCATTCATAATCTACCCTGTGGACGATGAGATTGTCAGTTCTGCGATTGCTATACAAACAAATCACACAAATCTACTAAATTTTCTTGGGCTATACTCACATTTCAAACGTCGAAACAACTTATCTTTATAAAAAAGAGGGCTCGATGACGGTTTCCATACATTGCACTGGTGATGTTTTTTACGGCATCAGCGAGCAGCCCCTTGGGTTCTATAAATGAAGTTGCAATAGCAGAAGGCTTTCAAATGTGGAGGCGATGGCAATGGCGATAGCAATGTATTTGGAGTCGGTCCTCCACTGTTACATCCAAGTTGCATATTTGACGCGGCAACAGCTGAAGCTAAAGCAGTTCGAGATGGTATTCATCTTGCAAATCAAATAGGCTGTCAGAAATTAGTTATTCAGTCTGATTGTGCAGGAGTTATTGATACTCTTCTAGAAGGCGGTTTCTCTGCGACAGTTGCTGCTCCAATATTCGAAGACATTCGTATTCAGGAGAGCTCTTTTGACAGAATCTTATTTGTGCACTGTCCAAGGGAAGCAAATCGGGTAGCGCATACACTTGCGCATGAATGTAGGCTAGATAGTTGCGTGTGGGCTGATGATCCACCTAGTTTTATTTTGCCGCTGTTGATTGACGATGTAAGCGTGATTTGATTTTAATAAAATTAGCCATGATGGCATTCCCTCAAAAAAAAAGTTGCATATTTTCATCATTATTCCGCCGGCAATGCGATGGCAAAGCCCTTCTTTAAACAGAAAACAAAACTCAAAGTGTGCGATACTGCAATTAATGGTGTAAGTTCTAAGATGTTGTTTCTCCTGGCCTTCTAATAAGGGCTTTCATGCGCTGGGGTTTGGCAACAACAAATCCATGGGCTAGTGCTAACCTTGAACAACCTCAATTCTTCGATCATGTGAGACAACTCAGATTTGAGCTTAACTGCAAAGATGCTAGAAAATATCTAACCATGATTTGTCCGTACCAAAGCTTTTTGGCTTTTCCTATATGCTCAGAAAGGTTGATATCATCAATGATTATTAAGTTTTGATTCTGCATAGAAAAACAAGGCAGTTAGACTGGCTGATTCAATAGCTCCTAAGTCGATGGATAGTAGGCTCCACAAAAACCCACCATTTCCAAGCGTGGCATGAATTTCAATCCAGCGAAGGAGGTTGTGTGTTCCTTCTTCATAAGTGGTGGTCAGCTCAACTATAAGGTCAAGAGCATCTACAGCTTGCTTTAGTATAAGGTGACTATTTATAGTGATAGGGGTCGCATGTAACTTCATATAGAAAGCAATACCCGTAAAAAAAGACAATGCATTAACAACGTACACCATACTGGAAAAGAGCACAGAAGCCATAAACAGAAACAAAAAAATGACAAATTGCAAAGAAGCACGTAAGCAGTGAGATCTCAATGTGGGGAGCAGATGGACAAACTACTCCTCATCCATCTAAGAAGAAACAACCTCGATGTCCCGCCTGATTACAAACCTCGGACCTCCTTTCGGTTCGCTGCATATATATAACCAAGCACGCAGAATGAAAAAATTAACTGGATTCTAAAGCACAAGGAAAAATAGAGGATAAATTGGTGTCATCCTGATCTCCTCCGACAAGTAGATTAGCTTTAGTCAGATTTCTTTTTTATGCCATGTGGCAATCTACATTCTACATTTGAGTAAAGCATGTGATTCCCGACTAGGACCCAGCGGCCGGACACCGGCCGGCTGGATAAACAGGGAGGGAGCAGACAAGGAGGGAGCAGCAGGGGTCCGACGCGAAGAAGCAGAACATATGTTACCCAACGTACTACCCGTCAGACACCCACAGCTCACGATACCTACAAAGCATACGCGAACACAACCCAGCAGACCGAGAACGGGATGTGCAAGGCCAGGAGCAAATACTCCTTATAGCGATCGGCCAAAGAAGAAGGGAATGAACAGCTAGCAGCCAGGCAGGCAGCGACAGCCGGCCAGAGAAGAAGGGAATGAACAACCACTTCATGCAAACAACCAGGAACACAAAAATGAGCTGGTCGCGGATGGTTTCGCTGAAGAGACTAGTTTTGACCTTATTGACTGCCTTGTCAGCATTGCCACATCACCTTAACAGCCAGGCAGGTGGGGGGATCCAGGACCAACGGGTCGGAGCGGCGGATAGAGGTGGCTGGGATTACGGGCAACGAACAACGATGTCTCTCACGGTGGCGGTGATGTGCATCCTGGTGAGGCGGACCTACTGATGGTGCTGGTTGTCTCCAACAGTTGGACTGGACGGTGGCAACAGAGGAGAGAAAGTGCAACAAAGTTGCGTTGGATGGCACCTGAAATTCGAGCGTGTCCAACAGTTAGGGAAAGGAATGAAAGCTTTAGGTGTGGTTAATTGAAAAGACATTCACCATATTGCAATGGACAATCAGGCCCGTGGCGGCTGCTTACCTAATTGTATTGAAGGTTTAACGGGGTACCAATCTACTATCTATCTACTACCACTATAAAAGAAAGAGAGGGCGGAGAACCAGATCATCCTATCCATCGAAACCTGCAATCTGATGGTCTACATTACTCCAGCATACTAAACGCGTTTTACGTTTTAATTATCCACCATGCCATTACTTAATTATTTACCTCGTCCTGTGTTTAACAGCAAGCCACCATAGTTTAGTTTAGTGCCCGCAAATCCACTTGTGTTTAACTGGATTCTAAAGCACAAGGAAAAATAGAGGATAAATTGGTGTCATCCTGATCTCCTCCGACAAGTAGATTAGCTTTAGTCAGATTTCTTTTTTATGCCATGTGGCAATCTACATTCTACATTTGAGTAAAGCATGTGATTCCCGACTAGGACCCAGCGGCCGGACACCGGCCGGCTGGATAAACAGGGAGGGAGCAGACAAGGAGGGAGCAGCAGGGGTCCGGCGCGAAGAAGCAGAACATATGTTACCAAACGTACTACCCGTCAGACACCCACAGCTCACGATACCTACAAAGCATACGCGAACACAACCCAGCAGACCGAGAACGGGATGTGCAAGGCCAGGAGCAAATACTCCTTATAGCGATCGGCCAAAGAAGAAGGGAATGAACGGCTAGCAGCCAGGCAGGCAGCGACAGCCGGCCAGAGAAGAAGGGAATGAACAACCACTTCAGGCAAACAACCAGGAACACAAAAATGAGCTGGTCGCGGATGGTTTCGCTGAAGAGACTAGTTTTGACCTTATTGACTGCCTTGTCAGCATTGCCACATCACCTTAACAGCCAGGCAGGTGTGGGGATCCAGGACCAAGGGGTCGGAGCGGCGGATAGAGGTGGCTGGGATTACGGGCAACGAACAACGATGTCTCTCACGGTGGCGGTGATGTGCATCCTGGTGAGGCGGACCTACTGATGGTGCTAGTTGTCTCCAGCAGTTGGACTGGACGGTGGCAACAGAGGAGAGAAAGTGCAACAAAGTTGCGTTGGATGGCACCTGAAATTCGAGCGTGTCCAACAGTTAGGGAAAGGAATGAAAGCTTTAGGTGTGGTTAATTGAAAAGACATTCACCATATTGCAATGGACAATCAGGCCCGTGGCGGCTGCTTACCTAATTGTATTGAAGGTTTAACGGGGTACCAATCTACTATCTATCTACTACCACTATAAAAGAAAGAGAGGGCGGAGAACCAGATCATCCTATCCATCGAAACCTGCAATCTGATGGTCTACATCACTCCAGCATACTAAACGCGTTTTACGTTTTAATTATCCACCATGCCATTACTTAATTATTTACCTCGTCCTGTGTTTAACAGCAAGCCACCATAGTTTAGTTTAGTGCTCGCAAATCCACTTGTGTTTAACTGGATTCTAAAGCACAAGGAAAAATAGAGGATAAATTGGTGTCATCCTGATCTCCTCCGACAAGTAGATTAGCTTTAGTCAGATTTCTTTTTTATGCCATGTGGCAATCTACATTCTACATTTGAGTAAAGCATGTGATTCCCGACTAGGACCCAGCGGCGGGACACCGGCCGGCTGGATAAACAGGGAGGGAGCAGACAAGGAGGGAGCAGCAGGGGTCCGGCGCGAAGAAGCAGAACATATGTTACCCAACGTACTACCCGTCAGACACCCACAGCTCACGATACCTACAAAGCATACGCGAACACAACCCAGCAGACCGAGAACGGGATGTGCAAGGCCAGGAGCAAATACTCCTTATAGCGATCGGCCAAAGAAGAAGGGAATGAACGGCTAGCAGCCAGGCAGGCAGCGACAGCCGGCCAGAGAAGAAGGGAATGAACAACCACTTCAGGCAAACAACCAGGAACACAAAAATGAGCTGGTCGCGGATGGTTTCGCTGAAGAGACTAGTTTTGACCTTATTGACTGCCTTGTCAGCATTGCCACATCACCTTAACA